CTGTATAAGACTAATCACACTGACCCTGAGTGCTAGAAAAGATGATTTATAACATGTCTATAAGACTCTATAAATAAATATAGTTTACCAAGGTAACCTAAACAAAGTGCTATTGAGGGACAATATCAGAGTTCACAGTCAAAGATCCTCTAGTGCACGAGACATCATATTCTATTGGTGTTGCTTGACTCCTTCTATAAACCTCTGACACTCTTTGTTCTTCAGTCTTCAGCTGAACATCATGTGTATGCAAAAGGAACTTCAATTACCCACAAGATGTCATGGTTTGCACTCCTTCTGTCCCACTGGACACGTATCTGCAAAACGATACTACATCACATGCTCATACAGAGAATTCCAGCTTCTCAGGTGACTACTTGAGCCATAAATAACATCCTAGCTTTAAAAATGGAATATGAGCTAATAGCAGTAAAGGGACAGATCAGGTAAAGGAGTCTTGTGGTTACAGTAAACAGGTTAACTAAAATCATCAAGTAAGTTTATTTACACAACATAAAAGTATTTAATTGGTTTACAGTCAAAGATAGTAGCTTACACCTTTTCTGTGGTTCTTATTGTCTTGACCTGGCTACTCACTTGTCCCATTTGCACCCTTTAAATAAATACGAGGAGCATTACAACCACATTTTGCTGAAGTTATAGTTGAATTAAGGGAGCATTAAATTTAATTAATTTCCTTTTTCTCAAGATTGAACCAACTGAGACAAAGTCAAACTGAACCAAATGACCACTTGACGACATATATAATAATATCGAGCAATAAAAAAATCAGTCATAAAGCTCTCACAGTTTCAGAAACTTAAAGTGACCGTGCAACAGCCAGCAGGTCTGTGTGATATTTACATTACAAATGTATAACTTCTGCAGTCTAGGTTTTGCAAACAATGTCTTTGGGATCTTAAAATCTATTATAAATGATTGCTGTGAGTGATTAATTGTCACTTATGGAGACACTGTGGATACTGGTTTTAACCTTTCCTATTCAATGTTTTTGGATGACACATGGGGCTGGATTATACCTTTTACTGTATTCCAGTGTCATGCCTACTCATTCATCTCAATCAAATGCAAGTGTTAGGTCAGGGAATCAAATAAATCACAGAAAACAGCACAGCTGCAGAGAGGACTACATGAACATCCCATCATAGTTTGATTTATGCAGTAATTTTGTGGGTAGGGGGATCTTAGGATTTCTTGGTTTCAACAGAATTTCCAGAAAGGCACATACATACAACATTACATTACATTACAACATAATGTAAAGTATTGTATCAGTTGTGATAAATGGCTGAAGAATGTGCCAGTAGTACATGCTGAAAACAAAGAAATGATAATTTAATTTCTTTACTGGAAGGCAACTACAGTCAATACTTTATATTAACAATGGATCACATGACTATTTGTATGTGTATTGATGAACCCGCAGAGAATATCAACCTACAGTACATTTGAGTTCACTTAGCTCCAAAGTCTATCAGCTCATAGTTTTTTGTTTTATGGAAAGGGACTGTTGAGGTTCTTTAAAAAACAAACAAACAAAAAAACAATCGTACCATACGCTGCCTGAGTTAGTGACTAGCTCATGAACATACTGGAGCTTTTAGCCATTTAAGGGACAGCTATTTATCTCTGGAGTGAGTGGAGACCAAAAGCAGAGTTAAAAGAAGAGTAGATATTGGACTGACTAATCATGTGGCTAATTTCTAATAAATGCTTATGCTGCACCATAACTGCTGGATGACACATAGTCAGGTAACTGTTACTAAAGGTAAGGTGATAATGCTATACAGTATGTTAATTGATGGGTTTATAGCTTGTTTCCGCTGCCCCTGAGTGGACAAGCACTTCAGGTAATGAATACAAGTTATTTCAGCACATCAGTTATATGGCGTGCGTGTGTGTGCGTGTGTGTGCGTGTGTGTGTGTACATGTTCAGTGAAATTAAATCACTAGCTAGGCCAGCTGTCTTTGTGCTAAGATAGGCTAAACATACAACAGACCTATCCATTATCACTGATAATGAAAGCTGCTCTAAGCAGGGCCTCTAAAACACAGTCTCCATTACTCAACCTTTGTTTTAAAACAGCCCTGTTTACTTTGGCCTTTCTGCCTGTGTCCTGACATCTAGCCACCAGATGTCGCTGGGCTTTCCCTCAATTCTCAGTCACCTGACCTTCGCTGCCCACTCACACACTTGTTTCCAATTTTTGTGTCAATTCTGTCAGAGTACATCTCAAGTCCCCTAATTACATCCACATTTTCCTCTCTTGCAAGAGAAAGATGCAAAGAGAGAGGAATCGAGGAAACAAGTTTTAGAGACATGAGATGTCCTTTCCTCTAATCATTCATCTGAAGCATCCAATCACAATAAAGGGGCTTGTCAGTCAACAATAAAATGGTCTCAGACTGTCTCCTTGATCCTCTCTCCTCAGAGCAGGAATAAAAGCTTTTGTGTAGGTCCTTCAAAATGGTGGATAGGAACAACCTATAGCGGGGATTGAGGAACTAGTGGGATGTTCCCTCAGTATGAACACAAGCCTGCTCCCTGCTATATCAATCAACATTTCTCTGTGTCGCCCTTTGTGCTGCTCATGCTGCGGATTCTTGTTCTTGTCACCTTGTCTGCTATGTACAGTATATTTTGCAATCTGTTGCCTGTAAGCCTGGTTATCATCATCATGTGTTCTGTTAATGTTACTTTACTGCAGTTGCTGCCTGCCTGTGTGTCTGTGTTCAGGCACCATGGGATCTCCTCCCTGCAAGTACTCCGTACATGAGCCATGACAGTGAGCCATGTGAGTGTGACCAAAAAAAGTCCAACTACTCAAATGGGATCCACAAAGGTCAAAAACAAGAGTCACTTCTCCTGCTTCCCTCCTAAGAAAACATGTTTGTGTCCCTGGCCTATCAGTGTACTGGACACACAGAGATTAAGTGGATATTGATCTCATCATCTGTCTATGAACAATGGATGGATGGATGGATGAAGAACTACAACACATATTTCTAATTGTTGATTGAATACTGACATAAGAATGAGAATCTCATTTCTAGACAAAGATACTGACTAAGCACCACCAACAGTTAAGCCTTCCACATATACACAAACAAAGCAGAGGGGAGTAGGATCAGCAGACCATTGGTCCAGTGCTTATGTCCAGTCAACTGGAGCTCAGGGTGAAGCAGTGAGTTGAAAGAAGAAGGAACTGCTCACAAGCTCTGTCACACTTTCCTTCTGACTGCTGTAGCACCGATAGCAGTCAGAGGATTAAAGAAAAAGAAATCTGATTGGACAAATCACATCTATTCTCATAATAGTTTGTGTAATATTATGATAACAACAAATCAGTCAGTCTTCGATGTGGTTGGGTTTAATTTCCAGTTAGGTGGTCTGGGTCTCCTTCAAATCTCTATGCAAATAAACTTGATCATGTCATTCATATGCAAATATACATATGACGTCAACTGGCTTTTAAAGTTGCCAGTAGCTACTTAACCATGGAACAGCGAGGCATGCTGGGCTGTGGGGAGACAGACTAATGCTGGTGTTTATAATTTGCCAATTCTTTCCCCCTTTAAACTGAATTTTACTTGGATAACTGCACACGTAGTTATCTGTCATTTTCATTTTGGGGCAAAGTCGGGTTGCTAAGAAAGAAAGAACAAGTAAAGAAACAAGTATAAACTCTAAGACGATCCTTTCTAATTTATCCACTCGCTTAATCTCTTCTTTGTGAAGTACAACAACAGTAGGCAACCTTTATTTCATGGTTATCATCAGCAGATGTAGCTACCATTAACAAAATATTAAATTAAAATATATTGTCTTAATTCAGACTATGTGTCATCTGTTAATCTTTAAAATTGTATTTTTGCCATTGTATAGCAGCTGTCTTAAAACTATGGAAGAAAACAAATGTATTCCCTGATGTCTGAGGGCACCAAGCAGATTATTTCATCTTAGCAGAAAACTGCACTTTAAGCTTTATAATTTAAAGGTTTCATTAATAACCCACTACTTGCTTTTTTCAGTTCAACAATATTCAGCAAAGGACTCCACTTCTACTACATAATTTATTTTACTATAACCTGAATACTATTCAAAGTATCTCAGTAGCTTTTTTAACATTTTGACAAACAGGCTGTTTAACAATGTGTTAGTGTTAGTACATTTATAATGATTTACTTACTGACTTGCACTAAATAATTTAAATAAAACCAAGTCTTTGAGGGTTTCTTTTCTGAGTTCTGTCAGAGGTGCTGTTATGTCAGAACACAGGGCCACAGACTACATGCCGGCAGGCTGGTTTCTGTGCCAGCTGTTTGTATATTCAAGGGGGAGATGCTGATGAGTCCCTTTATTAAACGACTTTAAACTGACCATCTGCACAGCTACCATCTACTGAGACTGTGCTATTGTGGGCAGACAAATGCTGTATGACAAACAAAAACAAAAACAACTATTGATTTAACTAATGCTTTAAAGAAATATGCACACATTCGCTTGAGGCTAAAACAACTTCAGTCTGACCCAAGGAGAACGGTAATTCATTTCTGCTTCCATTTAGTTAAAATATTCTTTACCAGGGCTTCTTGCTGTGGTTTACTGTATATTACAAACATTAGTTTTGTCACTACAGCCTGAATTAAGAGTATGCAATTAAGTTTAACCTGAAATGACACAGAAGTAATCTGAAAAGTTAGTTTAGTCCATTAATATGCCAAGCCTACGGTTCAGTAGCATATGTATCAGTTAATTGCACAGCAGAAGGACACAACAGGCTGAAACAGAATAAGATCTACTACAATAAGTCTATGACAGGTCCCTGCAAACAGCCACACAGAAAACTGAGCTTCACTGCTACCCTCAGGGCATCACACAAAATGAAAAGCCTATAAGAATTGATTCCCTGATGAAAATAGATCTAGCTGATGTGCCATGTATGGAATATATGTCTGCTGGAGATAGTAGTACTTACCTTTTCCCCATTGATTCCCTGTTGCCCTTCTGATCCAAGTTCCCCCTGCAATGACAAGATTTAGAGTTAAAAAGCAATGAAAAGTTCAGACTTTAATCTTGTTTCGTTTCACCTTTACAGCCAGTAGGTTAAAATAATTTGACATTGTCCTTTAATATCTCTTTTCTGAAAGTCTTGTTTGCAGTGTTTCATAGGTGATTAATTATACAAAATAATCTGTACATTTATTTGCAAATATTTCTACTAAATGTCTGCAACTGACCCCGGATCAGCACAGTTACCTCTTGCAGTTAGAAACTATGGAAACGGCCGACCTGTGCCCACCAGGCTCCATAGGAGGTTGGGTGTGGCCACAGCGTGGGCATACACAACTGTGCATGCACCAATTTCATTCAGGCTAGACTTTCTGAGTCTTTACTTAAGTAATAGTAGCTGTAATGTGCTCAGTGAGATGTGCGTTTGCTGAATACTACACCACAGATAGTACATTCAATACTAAAATCTAGTAAACTTGCTTACTTATTTCACGTAAGGTTTACTATTTGGGTTTACAGTGTAATATTGTTCGCTTTGTGAGCTCACTACATCATTTCTACAGAACAATAAGATTATATGCAGCCCTATGCCATCTGTACATATGTATAAAAATGATTAATTTAATAATATTACATACCGTACACTAACACAAAAGAAGGACACACTGTGGTTTGCACAGAACAGATTTCATGAAATACCTCTGGAACAGTAAACATTATCAGTATTAATGATACTGAGCTTAGGTAGGACGTACTAGACATAGTCCTGTGGCGTGCATTAGCATCAATATCAATGCTACTCCTCTGAATGTGGTCTTGTCTTGTGCACTGTTGTGTAACAGGAGAGTTGTAGCAGGCTCCTGAACCTCATCTTAGATGGCACAAGTGGAGAGAGCTTTGCCATTAAGGGTTATACTATCAGTATCTAGGTTCACGAGCTATATGTCACCCCACAGTGAGCTTAACAGTCTCACTGGCTGTAGATCTAGGATTATCCACATCATCCACATCCGGAAATGGTCCTGTATACTGCTGATGCATAAACCACTTCCACAACAATCTGCAGTCAAACTGATCATTGAATGCATTGAAATATATAATAGATATGTTTTTTTCCTTTTTTTGCCTTGTATTTTCTTCATTTTTATGAGTTTAGAATCACAGTCATACACCCTGTTGTTCCAGTGCATGAAAACGCTAGAGGACATGCTTACTTTAAGACTTGGAAAACTACACCTATGTACTGGCATTACAGTAAATGATGGTTCTCGACCTGCCATTCCCACTGAAGACGATGAACAAAGGCATTTGTGATGCCTCATTTAATGGTGAAAAATCTTACTGACAACATCATAGAACACAATAAGAAAGTGACAAAATAACCATTGGAGTAAAATGTAATTTTACAGAGCACATGAAAAATCTAGCAAATTTCTCAGCTCCTCGAGAAAGTATCAGCAACAGTGAGTTGAAAAATAAGTACTTAAGCAGTCTGAAAGCTTCCCCTAAAGTTTTATACATTTTTCACCCCATTTACTCCATGCCAACGTCAGTGGGTGTAGACAGTTATACAGTATGTTGCCTCAAATACACAAAGTTATGCAAGTCGACAGCAAGGAGCTTTACCGAGGACACTTGCTGTACATTTACACCCAGAACACAACCTCCTCTGCATAGACAGTCCGACATTCTACAGTAAAAGCTGCTAGTGCAACAACAAGGACGCAATCTCTTACTGGCTTCCAACCCAGTATGACTGCCAACTGTGTCCAGTGGGGCAACCGGCCAAGCCTGAAGCACCACTGCTCAGGAATAAGCTTAGGTCTCTGCAATGGGAGCACTCTACCCTGTGCCAACCAGGCGCCCACTTTTTGGTTTAATTTGATTTTGAGATTGCTTTTCTCTGTGATGCTGTGATGGGCACCACACAATGCAAGCCAATGATTCAATCCAGTGACGTTAGATAATCATCTCAGAGAGGGGCAGTGACAGTTTCCATAAATCACTAAGTAAAAAGTGCCACCTGTTATTTACTGAATCGGAAAAACCATGCAGTACACCAAATGAATTTGGAACTAAAACAAAATTTATTAAAGGAAAAACATAAACAGAGAGTCCATATCAGTCACAGCTTTAAGGGCAAAGGAACACTGGGGAATTTTATCAAGGTTTTGAAGTTGTTTCTTCAGTGAGTAACCTACCTTAGGTCCTGGGTTTCCTGGAACCCCAGTCTCTCCTGTGTCCCCCTGTGACACAAACAGCAAACAGAACACTTAGAGAAAGATCTCTCATTCACATGTTAGTTAATAGCTTTATGAAGCTTTGTCATTTCATCACCGATCTTGCTCCTACAGCTGTTCTACAAGTCCTTGCTGACACAATGGCTCAGCAGCTGCAGATCAGGATACTATTTCCCAGCAACTGGAAAGCACACATCTGAACCTTGTTAAGGTTCACTGTGTAATTTTAATAACTGTATTACTTTAAAAAAGAGGGCAGAACAGGGCACAAAAGGAAGGAACGCTTGATTGACTTGGGGTTTGCAATTTTACAGGGCAGTAGAGGACAAGACACAGCGGGAAAGAAAAAGAAAGGAAAAGAGACATATTGTCCTCGGTATTGCTAATAGAAGACTGAGGTAGATAGTTATTCAACAAATTAAACTAATACAGAAGTTGCTGCAAGCTAAGAATCTAATTAAACATGATGCCCATTCATGGTCACATCTTCATTACAAGCTTCGTTTGTTAGAACTCAATAGGCTTGCTTAGGAAGAACAAGAAAAAGCTGCCGATCATAGTAAGTGAGATGACATTTCTGACCACGAAGTCAGTGTTGTACACATTTTCCCAGACAACATGCCCAGTCTAACTTTTACTGACTTAGCATTTCATCCATTTAAAATCTAGTCTTAAATGAGTGATAAGGTATTAGGAATGTGAGAAGATGTAACACTTTCTATAGACATTCACAGCTACTGTCCTTGATCGAGTACAGATAAACCTCTGATAAAATGTATATGGGAATGAACATCTGCTTCACAGTGCTTTCAATTCAGTCTTCAGTTAAAATGTCTGCTGCAGCCACTGACACAAATCATTTTTAGAAAAGCTAATAACATGTTCACAGTGACGAATACAATAGAAACAATGGAAGGCTTTGACAGCCAGTCAAAATTCAGCGTCAATGCAACAATAAACTGTGTTGAATAAAATTCCTGGTATTACTCACTTTAGAGGTACAATGGGCATAAATTGAATTAGAGAGTACTAATTGAAAACACGAGGGCAGGAGAGTTGTAAATGCCTCAAAACAAATTAAAAAGGGGAAGAAGTTTTAATTTCGCCATTATGCTTGTGTGTGTGTGTGTGTGTGTGTGTGTGTGTGTGTGTGTGTGTTTTCTTTTGCATATATACATGCAGAAACTGTAAATCCAGTAATATCAGGGTTTATGTGCAAGGCTATAGAAAATGAATTTCCTTTCAGGCAAGCTGCATTCTTATAACCCACTACTTATCTGTCTAATTTCCCAAGAGATTCTGGATTAATCATAGCTGTTTAATCCCGTTGCAGTGCTTTAGAATCGTCAGTCAAACTCTAGTACTTTCTGTTGGAGTAACACAGAGAAAGTAATCCCCACGCATTTTACCAAGAAGCCCTCTGTGTAGGTCATGATGATTGGCCTGCAGTTTTCATTATGGGTGTTTTAAATGCTCTAAACTGCCAAGATGTCTTTGATTAATCTCTACAAAGTCATGCTAAAAAGTATATATGTTGATGAAAAATAACCTATTACAGGATGAGTTTCTCATGTTGGTGGTGTAAGCCTCATAAGCTTATCTTATTATCAGTATTTGCACCAATTTTGTTGCCCCCATTTTGATGTATTATAATGTAAATGTAAGAGTGAGATACTGTGGAGTAGTCACTAGAAATTCCTTGGAAATTTAGGGATCAATATAAATTAAGCAGAAGAGGCAGAAGTGCATTGGTACTATAATTTACCAGCTACAGTACATTAATGTGCAACAAGGTCAGAGTAAATAACAGAAAAGCAATTACTACACATGGTTGTGTCAGCATGATTTCTGATATAGCACACACACAGTAAACCACATTTCTGTTTCTGTCTCAGTGGGAGCGGCACATGAACATCTCTAAATGCCACAAGACATGAAAACCTTTTCATTCACAGATCGGTGACATTTTGTTGTCTTCAAGCACAGGCCGCGTTTCTGTTCCAGTCATCATTTGAACATCCTAAGTGAGATTTGGTAAGTCAGATTTTAACCTTACATTACAAAAGAAGGAAATTAATAAGGGGGTTAAAATCCAGATAATGATGAAACTCTCAAGACACAAGGAGGAGTAGGACAAAACTTTACATCATAATCAACCTTCACAGTCACCAGATCTCATCCCAGTTAAACATCTAAGGGAGATTTTGTCGGTGTTAGACAACATCTCCACCACCATCATCATAACACTAAATCAGGGAGTATCCTTTGAAAGAATGGTGCTCATCCATTCAGTAGAGTTGAGAGAGGTATTTTGAAGCTGTCCTCGCAGCGTGTGGTAGTCCAGCATCTTACTAAGACACATTATGTTGGGTTTTCCTTTCATTTGTCAGTCGTTTGTATATAAAGTGGGATGTTATCATTTCTCGGTGCCAGGTTGTCACCATCACATCACAGTTTGAATGTGCAGTCCCTGATCATGTTTTTCCTTAACTTCATTGATTCAATGTTCAGGCCTGTAATAGGATTTGTTATGAATTTTGTTGCTCAGTATATAAACAAATGGTGCCAAGTATCGATTTGCTGTAGATATGAAATTAGATTTCAGGTGTTAACAGTATGAGCCAGCGACTCACAACACAAGACGTGGCCTGCAGAAATCATAGGAAAAAACTGAATGGGCTTCACTATTGTAAAAGCTCAGTAATCTACTACTAAGTACATTTTGATGGTACACAGGTGATATTTGCAGATGAAAGATGTGTAATAAGAGCCTCTCTGGCTGTGCTGTTAAGCTTCAGGTCAACACTTAGTGGGGAGGTAAACAGCTATCTGCAAGGGCACAAGACACAGAAAACGCACTTGATACCCTTTTGTGAAATGTGAAACTGCATGATACGTGCATATTTACCGAAAACAGTCATGTCATTTAGCAGCAAGAACACAGACACTTTACAGCCTGGGAGCAGATCTTTGCTAGGTCAATTAAAAATCATTAGAGGCCTTTTATAACACATTTGCAAATTTGATTAGTACAGTCTGTGGCTATTACACACAGTTATGAATATAATGTTAAAAAAAATAAGTTACAATTATAATGTTCAAAAAGATCTATTATGCTACAAGTATTAAAATATCTACACTGTATATCTATATAATACATCTCTAGGAACCAAATGACGTCCTCTCATTGTTCCCAGTTCTTTACTGCCATTGTAAGAACTGCCTGGAGTCATGGCAGCTACTGTAAATGCAGAACTTGAAATGCTTTCTTAACAGTAACAACTTACAATATAAAAAAGTTAGAAATATCCTAGCTAGATATCCCTGTGCTGGGCTGTATAGATATAACAGTCATGTATAAATAATTTCTGTGCCTTACAGGAAACAAAAGTCTAACAGTCATCCTACATATTTTAATCTCACAGCCACATCATGGTAATTAGGACACTGACCCCAGAAGCCATCTGGTATTATCAGGCACATAGTATCACCGCCTGTACCTCCATCTGTAGGAACTCCTTTCACAATTGAATGCATTCTCCCCTGGTTCTCTTTTAACCACAGACAGCTAAAAGGGGAGTTCATACTAAAAACAAGATGATTTGTCTAGGGGGAAATAATACTTTTTTGCACAGTGGTTCCTTTATGGTTATGTTGTCGTCCTGCTGACACAACACCCACAATTTTCACTGACTGGGTGTTGACCAGTTACAGTTCCACCTGTCTACTAAGCTGTCATAAAGAATGGATCCTTGTCTTTGCATTTTTACTGATTGGTCAGAAGTATAATCTTCTAATTCATACACTGGGGGAAAAAAAAGAAATCTGGGAAACAAATCCCTATATAGTAGCATCTCTTGACTTTTGATCATATAATTTCTGTAACTTTGTCCCACAAAAACTTATTCTTTTTTTTATTAGACCTTCCAACTGTCCAGAAAAACCAGCGGTATCGGCCACAGATAAAAGCCACTGCAGCAGCAGAAAAATGGTTGTGACAAAGCATGATGGTACCATGGTGATGATAATACTCTCGGAGAGTTAAAGGCTTTTTTGCATTATGTAGGACTTACAGTGATCAATACCAAGAACTAACATGTATTTTCAGTACATCATCTTCCTATAAAATATCCATACCTTGTCTCCTTTATCCCCTTTTTGTCCCGGCAGCCCATCTACCCCTGGAAGACCAACATCTCCCTGTACACACAGCATAAATTATTAGTATTGAAACAGTTTAGACACATTTATGACTTCAAAATAAATCTTTTGCCATACTTAATAAGGTACAATACAAAACAGTCCTTGGCTCAGCAGAAATATTTTTTTAGTAAAGCATAGTTACATTTACCTAAGCAATGAAGTTTTACTTGAAAACATACAATCTTTATCATTTGAGCCAATTCTAATATCTCACATCTACTCCTTCTGACAGAAATATTAGTTATTAACATAATGTAGCAATGTAGCAAATCTAGGTACCTTAAACACTGATTTCACTGTTGGTCTATTAATCTGTTTGCAGCTGTACCACCTGCTTCCTCCAAAAAAAAGTCTCACTTTGCATTCAATCTAAAATTTATATTTGCAGTTGAAAGAATCACTTCGCTTTTTCACAGATTTATACCTGTACAGTCATATTTTCCATGTTTGACAGGTTTGGGAAAACTATGCCTACGTTTACTAATAGATTTTGGCTATACTACATTTGCTTGGCCACCAAGGAAAATGCTGTTGTTATAAATGTCCTTTAACTGGGTGTTTAGTAAGGGCTGAACACATACTGTATGAATCAGTGCTGTTTCGCAGATGTCAGACTTACTCAATTAAAGGCCCTTGTTGGCTGGAATTGATTATACCTTTTCAGCTGGACAGTGACATCTGTCAACTGGCCGTGAGAGTGGCTGAGACAGCATCTGGGGAAGCTGCTCTGAAACCAGGGGAGGGGAAGTCCCATTAAATGTCTTCTTGCCTTCACACTGGATCAATACAAAAAAATCCATAATTTAGACCTGCCGTGTTTGTCATGTTTGCTACATAGCAAAAATGAAAAAAAAAATTGCTCCAACAGCACATTTGACACAAAGTATCTTGGGTTTTAGGTGGCACATATTTATGTCATGTCGCACTGTTGCAGACACCAAATATAAATTGCAGACGGTTCAGTGGAAGAAAGTACTAAGCTGACAATTAGTCCTTCTCAAGGTTATAGGTGTAACTTGACAGCATGCTTAGGGAGACATGTAACGGCAGGGGGTCAAAGGTCATCTCTCCGTGTGAAATCATTAGCTCTTAATGATTATACAGTGTTGTAAGACAAATTAAACAAAAGCCTTGTAACACTTTGATTATCTGGTCATACCAACATCCAGTCAGTTACCACAGAACATGAACTTGGTGAATGTTCTTAAATCAGTGACCTGATGAGCTGTTACATTACAGCTTTCTCTCAGAACTTTGAAGGTTAAAGATTCATGTATACTGAATCTTCTCATTTATTCATTTAGCTATAAAATGCATGGTATATGATAAAGGACAGAAATGTAATAAATTCTTTTCTATTGTCATTTTATTGGCAATAAACAACAAGTGTTAATCCTGTACTGAGACACTGAAGCATTTTACCTTTGGCTCCTGAAGTTCACAGCAATTTTCCATCTCAGCCATGAAAGGGTCACAGTAAACTAGAAATTGTTTCAGTTCAATCTGTGGAAAAGAGCTCTCATTAAGGGACTATTGAAGAATCATACAATAGTTTCATCATCACATCATGATCCTCTTTAAACTGACAAAGGTCTGCTCTTCACTACAGCAGCTGCTTCAGAGCAGAGCATGAACCCTGCCTTTAGAAATCCTGTGGTGTTAAAAGATGTTGCTTAAACCAAATTCTGATCAGAAGCACTGAGTGACCAAATGGCAAAGCTGACCTAATGTTTTGAAGCACTATGAGACTTCTCTGAGAAAGTGTGTAACATGTATAACACAATAAAAGATTATGAGATTATTATCTATATGAACTCTAGTCTAGTATTTTTATCTTTGAAAGCACTAGGAGTGAGTTCCAAAACTTCAGTTACGATAGTGTGGTGCTGATTGAAACTGGACATGAGTAACAAAAGTGTTGGAACAAAAACTGATACATCCTTAAACAACAATGTGTACATTTAGCTAAAGACAAACACATGTCTGGACAAATTTAAAGTCATACATCTACAGGCTGTCCATCCTCCACTCGTGAAGTAATGACAGTGTTCCCGTTGGGGTCAATGCTGTCCTTCTCATCAGTCGGTCTCCTTTCTATTAGCTTGCAGTCCATGTAAATGGACAATTCGTTGTTCTGTACAGAAATGCTCAGCTTGTGCCACTGGCGATCAAAGAGGCCATGTAGGTCACGGCTTTTGAATATCAAATGGACAGTATTCTTTAGCAGACCCTGGGAGGAAAACTCCACCACCTTCTTGCCACCGTCAACAACGACAGACACCTGAGAAGCAAAATGTTTAAAAACAGGGTTGTTATCACAAAGAAATATCAGTTCTCTGGCATATTTTATATCTAGGTACTACATGAAATTAAAACATACAGTAAGGCCCACCTGACTGTGTCTTGATTGGTCGAATATCTGCCAAAGATACCAGCGGTCTTTTTTTGTAGTTCTTCTTACCCGGAAGGTAGCGACAAGGGAGTATTCGCTTGAAAGCCCGTTTGGAAATATTAATCTACAAACACATCATATATCACATTCAGATCATCACAGAATATAAATATTAAATCTTACATTAAATGATAATTTAAAAATGAAAGCTAACAGAGTCAGGTGCATTTCAATATTGAAAGTAAACTCTGAAAGCTTCCAGTGGCTGAACAACGAACCAGCCAATGAACTTCAGTGATCAATAGAACGTTTCAATATCCTCCTGCTGCAGAGTGATTCACATAAGTAAACCTGACAAAATTGATTCCATTTAGCTTGATGAATTTGACTGTACACTGGCTCCCCTATCATTCACATAATGAAAATGTACAGAAATTGATCCAAAGTCACAGAAGCCAATCTTTTACCTCACTGGGGTACCATATGCTAGAGTTACAGGGTTATAGATGCTATAGTTGCAATGCAGTGATAGGTTTGTGTGTATGACCTCAGCTGCTCTGGAAAGATAAATAACAATTCTGTGTTTATAGCTGAAAATGTGTTCCAGTAGAAACAAACATTGCAGAGAAAATAGGGAATATATAGGAAAAACAATATCATATTTCAAATCGCACCCACTATCAAATGAATTACAGTTTATTCAGTAACTCATCTCTCACCCCTGCACTCGATTCCTAATTTTACATTAAAATAAAGCAACAAAGCAATACACTCTTCAAATTATTCTAACCCCAGCCCTAACTCCAGACTCAGATTAACAGTCAAAAGTGGAAAAGCATAAACATAATAAATCAAGATCAGCAAAAATAATAATAAAGCAATGATAAGGTCATTGAGAAGGCAGAGCACAGCCTCGGGGAGAGAGAGAGAGTTTCTTCAGACAGGTTGGAAATTAGTTTTCACTTCAATATATCATCTCCTATTCTCTCAGAGCTTCATAGCCTCTTCTATTGTGCCTCTTGAATTCTTTGAGACTTCAGTGTAAATGGTACATGACTAAAATGATAAATACACCAAGTTAAAGTTGCTAAAAAATCAAATGCCTCTGTGAAAGGCCGAGCACCGGGAAGGATATTTGTTGCCCAGGGGCTAAAGGACTATTTCAGCTGCAATTCAGTTCAGTTCAATTCATGAAAAGTGGCATGACAATTTATAAAAATGAGGATTTATAAAATACATTCAACACTGAACACTATTTCCATGCTGCTCATTCAGTAACTGCTTGTACCAGATGTCCACTCCATCCACTTTCCTCCGCTTATCCAGGACCGGGTCGCGGGGGCAGCAGTCTAAGCAAAGATGCCCAGACTTCCCTTTCTCCAGACACTTCCTCCAGCTCCTCCG